GGTTGATACTATCAAATGAATTTACTAAATCAAAATCGTGACCATCTCATTCATAATATAAAGTGTTATCAAAATCCGATAAAATCCCCGAAAACCAATATTTGTCTTGTTATTTTCGGCCTTCACCGCAAAAGAATGGAAAATGAAAAATAGCCCAAAAGATTCATAATCTCAAATGGTAACCAATTTTCTTTCCGCTGGTTTTTCTTCAATTTCAGCGTGACTGTTCAATGGCCCACCAAAGTTCAAGTAATTCCATCTGCATTCGATTTCAATCTTCTGTTGTTGGGGAGGGGAAAAAAATCCATAAAAATGCTGTAAGATTTGTGTAAAATATGCACTTAATTCGTTACGATTTGTCACAACACTGGTGCTTCGGCCAGCACCACATATACGGTGTACGAATGCATGATGTTGTACATGTGCAACGATGATGCACAGTGGTTAAAATGGCTTAACTGTGTATGGTATTTGATTTGAGGGGTGGATTACACATGTACTTTAACATATATAGGCTTAACTACAGTGCTACTCGGTTTCCCATTGACCAATGATTTATGATGCGATTGCCAAAGAGAAGATGTTAGAGGGTATTGCACATGCCAGGAAGTCTCGACCAAACATTTCCATTTGCAAATATAAAGAAATGCACAGGAGACAGTAGACACTTTTATACAAAAGAACTTTTTGCTGAAGATTGGGTTTTGAACGCTCGACGACGCAACACCATTGAATATGTGCATTTTATTTGTGATACATAAATTATGAGAGTTACAATGACATTTTTTGGGACGAAATTATCGTCCCGTTTGAATTGGTTTTTGATTGGGTTGGTATTTGTGCAGGGAAATCTCATTTAGAGAGATATCGTGCAATATGTGACACGAATCGACAATATTGATGCAGTCATATTTCATTTGTTTCGGTGGTAATGATAGCAGGACAATGTTACAAATGGCATTTTGAATCGATTTGGCCAACCAGAAAAGAACCGTTTTTAGTGACAAATGATGGAAAATGAAGGAGAGAGGAAAGGAGAGATGAAAAGAAAAGGTGAAGAGAGAAAAGGAATGAAATAGATCGAAAGCAAGATCGGGAGACTCAGAGAGAGAGAGAGAGAGAGAGAGAGAGAGAGAGATAGGGAAATATAGAAAAGAGCGCACGATAGAGAAGCAAGAGTATGAATAAAAGTGAATAGAATAGGTAAACTCGCAAATTCTATTCAATTTCACATGTAAAATGCATAGTTTACGGCGTAATTAAAAGAAACGCACTTAACGACAACTTCGACCGGTTTCTCTCACAGACATAGACAGAGAAAAGGGAAAAAGAGACCTTCAGAGAGAAAGAGAAAGAAAGAAATGTAGCTCCAATGTGAAAGAGACAAAAATGTTGCTTGATTTGATCGAAGACGGTATATTTAAAACATAAAAGAGTGCAAAGTGTGTGAAGAAACATGAAAGCACATCAAATAGCGACGAATTAATTGTTAAAGAGGAGTTGAAAAGCATGTTTTATGCCATGCACTCAAATGCAAAGCAAGAAAAAAAACGATTTAAGTTCATCCATAAAAAAATGCCAATGACAAAGTCTTTATCAATCTGTGTAGATGTGCGTGTGCGCATCTCGCGTTCATTTGTGTCGTAATTTATTAAGAAAGAACGCGCGCTTAGCGGCAGTCCATTTGAATTAAGATGTGAATATTGGCATTTTCTTTTTGCCAAACAGCGACAATGATGATGATCGTTTCAAAGAGTAAATGCCGACACGGATGCTTTTGATGTCTGACCGTGGAAAGACGTGTAACCGGATAATGCACACACCACTTGAAACATCAAACAATAATCCATCGTTTTGATTGAGATGGATATTGAAAACGTTCCTTTTTTTATTGGCCAAGAGTCCTTTTGTGCCCATTTTGAATGCATTTCACACAATTGCCACACCGTACGCGATTGGCATTGTTTTGAAATTGAAAAACCCAGTGGTCACTGCAATGAAAACATGCACTGCCGCATTAAATCGATTTCACAACATTTTGAATCGGATTTCAAAACCGAAATTATTTTCATCGAATTTTATTTTATATGTCTTTCTCTCTCACACACACTCTCTATTCATCGCACATTCTTCTCACAATATACTCCCCCGAATTTAATTGAAATGTGCAAATACACAGATGACGGTTTTGAGTCCGCGTTCCGCTCGATTAACTGCTTTGTAATTAGAAACGGCGCATAAAACCGATGCCCGTTGTAAACTCAACCCGACAGCCAAATTTGATTTTCACATAAACCACACAACATCTCTCTCACTCACTCACTCACTTCTATACTCATTCCAATACATTTTACACACAGAGAAAATCGCCGTAAAATGCCCAACTGTTAATTAATTATTGACAAGAGCGCGCACATTTTCGCCGTACGGAAATCGAACTGCAAAACATTCACCTTTTGGGGATTGTTTTGATGGTCATTCATTGGAATTATGGTCGATTTACCACCGTACCATTTCAAAACATTTATCTAATGCCTCATACACATACCAGTTTCGAATAAATGGCAATTTTTATTTTACATTGTTTTGATGTGGATTTGATGAAGGTACTCAACGCGTATAATGACTTTCTTTTGACTCGACAATGGACATTCGGAACGAAGTGACAATTGAGATAATGATTCCAGTGAGGGTGGGCTAATGACAATTATTGCGTCAAAAGTGTGGAACAAAGAAGTTTTAATGTGGAAACGACTGAGGACCTTTTTGGCTTTGTGCAACTCGAAATGTTCATTTTTAAGTGTTTTTTCGGAAAGTTCGTTGAATTTGAAAATCAGTGGTACTTTGACTTGGGCCTAAAATGCTGAATTACGGATTATTTTATGAAAGAACTTTGTAAACCAAGTGATCCGCTGTCAAACTCATATGCGTATTTTAATGAGAAAGAAAGAGATTACTATATGAATTTGACTGAATTGTATAGTTTCGATTAAAAATTAACCAAAAAAACAAAGGAAATGTCTCGACATGTACATATAATACTATGTTAAATGTAGGCGAAAGAATTTTTCAAAAAAGAGACAGTGTGGTTCGCTAATTTTCCAAGAATTTCACCTTAGTAATTGAATACCGCTTCAAATTCAATCGTTCGAAAATCTATTCATCTAATATACCGACTAATTGGTTTCTAAATGGACGTAGCTAAAAAATAACCAATATAATTGATAGTTCGATTCCTTCGAATTTTCGCCGAAATGATTTACAGTATGTTTCATTATAGAGAGAGGTTGATTTTTTATAATAAAACTCAAGAGTTTTACAAAATTATTTTATATACATTTTATTTAGTATCTAAGCTACGGCGCCAAAAATTAATATTTAATCCATTCTTCTTCTTTCTCGATCACAAGGGCACATCTGTTGGGCATACTTTTGCTCAAATTTTCAGCATATTCACGTTGAAAACATTTTCACTGGCGCTAAATGAATGAACTGAGCTGCTTCAAATTGTGTTTTACCACGAAGCCTTGCCTTAATAATAGCCCAAACATTTTCGATCGGATTGCAATCGGGTGACTGTGGCGGCCACTCCATTTGTTTTATGTCATTTTCCTCTTTCCAAGCGCAGCAGAGACGACTTTTGTGTTTTGGATCATTATCTTTTAGTAGAAGCCAATTCGAATTGCCGTTGCCATAGAACTTCTTGGCGGTGGGTAACAGTGTCGATGAATAATGTTGGTTCATCCTCACGGCGTTTGCAAGGCCCGTGAATACGGTCAACTTTCCAAAACCAGCTTCACAGAAGCAACCATAAGCATGCACCTTTTTCGGATACTTTACCGAGCGAACGACCATTCTCTTTTTGGTTCTAGACTAGGCATGGGTAGTGCTATTCACCAGCCAAAACGATGACTCATCGGTGTAAATAACTTCGCTCCAATCTCTTGTTGAATTTTGCTTTGCCCAGTCAATGCGTTTTTCTTCTAGTTTTCTGTCAAAAGTGATTTCTTCAATTTACTGCGATAACGAACACGGGCAACGTCTAATCTTTTCTTGATTGTGGAGCGCGAGACGTCTTTTTTAAGATGGCGTAGCCGTTCAACACCTTGGCTCAACGACATACCTGAATTTTCGTCGAACAACATAACTATTGGCTTATCTTGCTCTGGAGAGGAGGCTCGGTTTGGCTTAACATTGGGCTGATCGTTCACATTTTTTTCGTGCTTATACTGCTGGATTCACTTTGTTACGAACCTCCTTGACTTTTTAATATATTTAGCAGTCGATGCAATCGACATTCTTTGTCCTTTTGGATGCAATTGCAGAAAAACGGCTTCAAACCGTGAATGAAAATGTTCAGAATTAATGTTTTCGTTGCACAACAAACACTGTACTGATTTGAGAGCTGTCAATGTTAATTGGCGTAGTAGCTTAGAGTCTCATCTGGCAACACCAGAAATATTTTTAAGATATTTGAAATTTGTGGTAGTTTATTCAACCTCTCTCTATAATGAAACATACTGTAAGTTTATTCACTTCGTTGTGTCTAATCAAGAAATTGTCACATTATTATAAATACAGCTCATGTGTGTGTATTTAAAACGAAACGTTTTTGATTTTGAAATTGAGTTTCCGGGACGATAAAAAGTATATTACGTGAAACGTTAGCACGGCATTGTGTGCATTATTCAAAGTGTTTCATATTAAAAAAAAAAAGTCACCGCTAATGCCAATACTGTCAATTCATTGTTACATTGTCAAATCAAGTTTGTGACGTTAAAAGGAAAAGAAAGAAATAGAATCAATGTTTAATCAACTACATTTATGCGCATCGAATTCTACTTAAATGTCGTTCGATTAATGTATGCGTGTGTATTTTTGCTTTTGATATTGAAAATTATGCATAAATAACCAATAATCATAGTGTCATGACACCATTCCGCTATTTAAAATAAAATTTCCTGGAACTTGAAGCACATAACTTTTCAATTTTACACATAACCACATATCGAATACACAATGTTCGGCCGACCGTTCCAATTTAGAACAAACACTTATCCGTCTTATACAAGCCAAGTGAAAAGACGCGTTTTTTTTTCTCTTCTGACGGCAATTACTTTCGACCATTCTGGAATTACGAGCAAATTATTTCTTGTGAAAGTGATTAGTTTTTACAACGACATTTTACAATGCTCGTTTTGCGATATCTTTTTGAACAAATCGCCAAATTACTGGCACTCAGAGGTGATAATATTTTGCTGGAAATAAATTTTAAACGAAAAAAAATGGAAATTAAAAAACATTTTGAAGGAATTATATTGAAAATTTGTATGAAATATCGAAAAAATAGCCAAAATTTGGCTAAAAAAGTGAAATATTAAAATAAAAGAAGAAAATACCAAAAACTATTGATTTGAAATAAAAAAGCACTTTTCTGCATTTTGAGATTAAAATTAAATTTTTGTGGATTTGTTTCAGATACGCGATTACAACACCTGCCATTTACGTCGGTTGAAAGTCTCATTACAGTAGTGACGTTGTATTTATTCTTCGTGTTAAAATGGGGACCAAATTTCATGAAAAATCGAAAACCATATAACCTGAAGACGGTGTTGCTCTTTTACAATGGTTTTCAAGTGCTTTGCAATTTCTCCCTTTTCGCATATGTAAGTAAAGAAAAGTGAGTAGGTTCATGAATTTAGCGCAATTCTTTGGAGAAATCGATTGAAATTCGTCTGACCATAGAGATGCGAACAGAAAATTCTTTGCATATGGTGAACAACAGTAATTGCTTGCATTTATTCTTACTGTGAGTGACTAACGATACTGTGACAGACGTATTCGAATTCCTTTGTCAAGATTTGTAGCACCAAATTTCATAAATCTATTAATGATATCAATTTTGGAGCAAAATCTAAAAAAAATTCAATTTTCCGATTTAATAATTGTTTTGATTTCTCCATTCAATAGTCTATTTACCAAATTAATATGTCGGAAAATGTGTCAGAATATAAGATAAATTATTTCTGCGAGGAACTGGACTATTCTGAGAGCTGGATCGGTACGCAATGCGCAATATTGGCCTACTTCTATTTTTTGATCAAAATTCTCGACCTACTTGATACGGTATTCTTTGTGTTGCGGAAACGAACTCGACAAATCTCATTCTTGCATGTGTATCATCATATGGCCATTTATGTCGGCGGTTTTATTGGCATATCATGGGCACCAGGCAAGTAAAAAGTTAATTTTTATCAAAAAAAAAAAAATGTAATAATGCTTGATCTAATCGATACATATATTTCCAGGTGGACATCCGTGGTTGTTTTGTCTTTTAAATTTATTCGTCCATATCATAATGTATTCATACTACTTTGGTACTGTATGCAACGAAAAACTAAAAACAAATCTGTTCATAAAACGTTCCATCACCCAAATGCAAATTGTAAGTGTAAATAATACCCAATCAATTTCAACGCATTCACGAAAAATTTCGCTTAAAATTTCAGATTCAGTTTGTATTTGCAATAACCCACTTGAGTTTGCCGTTTTTCGTCCAAGACTGTGGCTATCCACGAATATTGTTATACATCGGCATTTCACAAAATGCAATTATGCTACTGCTATTTTCGGATTTCTACTATAGAGCCTATATGAAGCCAAAACAAAATTCATCGAATGTCAAAATCAGTAAAAAGAATTTCGAAGAACCGAACGAAAAAATGACGAAAATCTCTTAATATAAGAAATCTAGTTTATTTATATCAAGCTAATATTGTTAATAGTGTACTTAAACATATTAATTGTACCAAATAAATGCTTTTCTAAAATAATACGAGATGATTCTTCTCTAACACATTCGACTTCATCATGGGAACTACTTCAGATTTGCTCAATGGAAAATTTAGAAATAAAGTATCTATGCAATTCAAGGAACCTTTGAATGAAGGATAGTTCTTCGTTGTTTTCTGTCAGTAACTGAGCAAATCCTCTCTGAATTTTTGGCGTGTGAGCCGCTTTAAAACATGGATATTCGCCAAAAGAAACAGCAATGCAAACAGTAAGCGCGAGCAGCTAGGCGATTTCTCTTGATTTTGATTTCGCTTGCAAAATGGAAATCGTCACTATTTTCTGCAAAAATGTGCTTTTTTTATCGATATTACTGCAATTAAAATCTGTACTGAATAGCACATGTGTCACCGAATCGATTTATGCGAATCAGGAATTCAGTATTTTATTTTTATATTCATTTTGCTTAACACCATCGGAATATCCGGTAAAGTAAAATGTACACACACAAAACATAAGTAGTGGAAGAGTTAAAGTGTGTTGGTAGGTTGCGAAATTATTACCGATAGTTATCGAAGTAATAACTATTTGTATTTTAATACAATTGTTGTATTCATATCAGTGCTTCTACACAGACGCACGAGGCTACAACAGTTGACACTCGATATTTTGCGCGATGGGGTTAAAGCTTATTTCTTTTGGTCAATCGGTGTGACGTAGAGAGTGTCAACTGCTGTTGTAGTGGCGTGTGTCTATGTAGAAACACAGATTTGAATGCAGTGACGATTGTATGAGAATAGCAATATTTTGACTACTACCAATATGTTTTGTGTGCATTAACCCGAATTAATACTCTCACACTTCTGCATAAATGACTGTCAATTATTAAATCCATTTGTATGATTTTTGTAATTAGAATTTATGCATAAATATGCGATAATCATTTGTTCATATAAAGTAGACAATGTTCAGCGTGTTTAGCACGAGAACTTATCCGTGTGGTACAAACCAAGTGAATTGACGTGTTATCTCTTCTGAAGGCAATTCGGACCTTTCTGGATTACGCGCAAGTTATTTCTTGTGAAAATATTTAGTTTTTCCAAGGAGGTTTTACAATGTTTTATTTTCGATACCTTTTTGAACAAAGTACCAAATATCTGGCGCTTAGAGGTGATGTAAACATTATTTTAAAGATTATAAAAAATGTTAAAGGAAAAAAAATCGAAAAAAATATAAATTTTTTGAAAAACTTGTGAAAAAAGGCACGATTAGACTGACATCAGTATATATAAAAACTTTCTCTTTTCGAAGATTGAAATAAAACGCTGTCAATTTCTTGTGGAATTTCAGATCCACGATTGCAACACCTGCCATTTACGTCGGTTGAAAGTCTCATTACAGTAGTGACGTTGTATTTATTCTTCGTGCTAAAATGGGGACCAAATTTCATGGAAAAACGAAAACCATATAATCTCAAGTCGATGTTGCTCTATTACAATGCTTTTCAAGTGCTTTGCAATTTCACCCTTTTCGCATATGTAAGTAAAGAAAAGTGAGTAGGTTCATGAATTTAGCGCAATTTTTTGGAAAAATCAGATAAAATTCGTCTGAAGATAGAGATGCGAAGAGAAAATTCTTTGCATTTGGTGAACAACAGTAAATACTTGCATTTTTCTTACTGTTTGTGACTAATGATACTGTGACAGACAAATTCGAATTCTTATGTCAAGATTTGCAACAAATTTAATAAATCTATTATAAAGATATCAATTTTGGAGCAATTCTCCAAAAAATTGAATTTTCTGTTTCAATTTCATAAAAATTGTTTGATTTTTGTATTCAATAGGGCATTTACCAAATTAATATGTCGGAGCATATGTCAGAATATAAGATAAATTATTTCTGCGAGGAACTGGACTATTCGAATAGTTGGATCGGTAGGCAATGCGCAATGGGGACATACTTCTATTTTTTGATCAAATTGCTCGACCTTCTCGATACGGTATTCTTTGTGTTGCGGAAACGAAATCGACAAGTCTCATTTTTGCATGTGTATCATCACATGGCCATTTATATCGGTGCTTTTATTGGCATATCATGGGCACCAGGTAAGAAAAGATCAATTTTTTTAATATTTCATGTGATCGATGAACTTAAAAATACTTACAGGTGGACAAGCGTGGTTGTTTGGTCTTTCAAATTCTTTCGTCCATATCATTATGTATTCATACTACCTTGGTACTGTATTCAGCAAGAAACTAAAAACAAATACGTTCATAAAACGTTCCATCACCCAAATACAAATCGTAAGTGTGAATAATAGTCAATCAATTTCATCGCACAATTCACAAAACTTTCGCTTATAATTTCAGATTCAATTTGTGTGCATAATAATCCACTGTAGTTTGCCGTTTTTCGTCCAAGATTGCGGCTTCCCACGAATATTGTTATTTTTCGGCATTTCACAAAATTTAATTATGCTAGTGCTATTTTCGAACTTCTACTACAAGACCTACATAAAACCAAAACAAAATTCACCGAATGTCAAATCCAGCTAAAAGCGTTCCGAAGAACCCAACGAAAAAATGATGAAAATCTCTTAATAATTAAGTTTAATTATATCAAGTAATTGTTCATAATAATGTACTTAAACGTATCCATTGGTTCAAATAAATACCCTTTTAAAAAAAAATACGCTAGGTGGTTCGGACTCTTTATTATGAATAATGCAACTTTCCTAATGAAGGAATACTTTTTCATGCTAAATGTCTTCCGTGTGTCCGGTAACATAGGGGGTTCTGTGTTTTACCCCCCAACAAAACGAAAAGATTGCCCACCTATGATCCCGTAAAATCAATATGTAATAACCTGAATTAAACAATTCTACTTAAATGACTGTCAATTATTAAATCCATGTGTATGGTTTTTGTAATTAGAATTTATGCATAAATATGCGACAATCATTTGTTCATATCAAATAGACAATTTTCAGCGTGTTTAGTACGAAAAATTATCCGTGTGAGCCAAGTGAATTTGACGCGTTTTCTCTTCTGAGCGCCTCTCTGGATTACGTGCAAATTATTCATTTTTTATTCAACGAGTTTTTACAATGTTAATTTTTCGATACCTTTTTGAACAATGCGCCAAATTTCTGGCACATAAAGGTGATTTAAACATTATTTCAAAGAATAGAAAAAATGGTGAACGAAAAAAAAGGAAAAAAAAATATTTTGAAAAAATTGTGAAATAGTGAAAGAATACATCAAAATTGGACTATTAAAAAAGTGACATATCAGTACTGTTGTCAACGTCCGAGATCATTTTTGTCCGTCCGAAACAAAAAAATTAAAATTTGAGTTCGTGTTGATTTTTATCGCACCAAAGTCTGAGTTTCAAAAATTTTCTTATAATTGAATGTATCAGAATAAAAACTCAACTTTGCATTTCACCTGTGTTTCTTCTCTCCTGAAGGATTTTCCATAAGTGTGAGCAGGAGCCTCCTGCCAGGAGGTGAGATATGAAGTTGAGTTTTTATTCTGACACATTCAATTGTGCTTAAAAACAAAAAATAAATAAAAATATAAAAATTATAGACGCCAGAATATTTGAAACATTGACTTGCGATGCAGATGTCACAAACAATGAATTATTGACATAAGATGTAGAGTTTTTGAAAACGGTCATGATTCATAAACTTGAAATATTTTGTTGGAAACTCGAAGAACGCTGTCCGAAGTTCGAAGTAAAGTTGAACGAACCCGGATGAACTCGGATCATACGTCCTCAAGGAAAAATTTAAGGGGGGGGTCTAATTGAAAAAAATCGACAGGGGTAAGCAAAAAAGTGAAGTGTATTTTGCGAAAAGTGTACTTTTCTGGTTTTTTTTGCTCTTCACTTTTTTTGCGAAAATCCCTAGCATATTGAAAGAATTTTCGTACATGTCAAAACTCAAAATCAAAAAAAAGGTCCTCACTTTTTTGGCCAAAATCCCTAGCAAATTGAAAGAATTCTTTAAAAAATTAAGGGGTAACACTTCGTCAGGGGGGGGTGTAATCGGACCCCTCGGGCCCCTGCTGAGGACGTATGACTCGAACTGTCCGTATCCGTTGACAACAGAATTTATCAATACACTAAAACCAATTATTTAGATCATGAACGTGAAAAAATGCGCTTTTCTCGTAGTGAAAATTAAAAGTAAATGCTGTCAATTTTAGATCCACGACTGCAACACCTGCCATTCACATCGGTTGGAAGTTTCATCATAGTAGTGGCATTGTATTTATTCTTCGTACTAAAATGGGGACCAAATTTCATGAAAAATCGAAGACCGTATAACCTCAAGCCGATTTTGCTCTTTTATAATGCCTTTCAAGTGTTTTGCAATTTCTCCATTTTTGTATATGTAAGAAAAAACATACATTGCACACTAGGTGTGCGAAAAAGTAAAAAAATAACATTTCTGAATTTTTGTATAGGCAATTTACCAAATCAATATGTCGGGATACAAGATAAATTATTTCTGCGAGGAACTGGACTATTCAGATAGTTGGATTGGTACGCAATCGGCAATGGGATCTTATTTCTATTTTTTGACCAAAATTCTCGACCTTCTCGATACGGTATTCTTTGTGTTGCGGAAACGAACTCGACAAATTTCATTCTTGCATGTGTATCATCATATGCTCGTTTATGTCGGCGGTTTTGCTTTCATATCAATGGCACCAGGTAAATCAAAACAAGTGTCTGTAGTTACAGTGTTCAATTCCAAAGGATTCGCACAGCTCGAAAACCTTCCAATCGCCATCGAATCTTCGTATATTGTTCCTTAACATTTTTTTTAGTTAAAAAAGTTTTCACGAAATTTATTTCTGTGCGAATTTGACATCGGTCGGTGATTCAGATTGGCGCCCGTTTTCGAACCTTGAATCTCTCAAATATCGCTTAAGTTTTCAATAAATTCACAATATTTACAGGTGGTCATCTGTGGTTATTTGCTGTTTTAAACTTATTCGTCCATATCATTATGTATTCCTACTACTTTGGTACTGTATGCAGCGAAAACCTAAAAACAAATATCTTCATAAAACGTTCCATCACTCAAATGCAAATCGTAAGTAGGATTTGGAAAGGACTTTCTATCATTTTCATCGCATTGACAAAAATCTTTCAAAAATTCAGATTCAATTCGTGTGTACGATAATCCATCTGTGTTTGCCGTTTTTCGTCCAAGATTGTGGCTACCCACGATCACTGTTATACGTCGCCATTTCACAAGCTGTAATCATGCTATTGCTGTTCTCGGACTTCTACTACAAAACCTACATAAAATCAAAACCAAATTCACCGAATGTCAAATCCAGCTGAAGAATTTCAAAGCTCAAACCAAGGCAAATGTGTTTTAATAAGATAATCAATTGTTCATGCAGTGTCAATGCAATAAATATTCCGAGTATAATTTTGAAAAGAGCATAGTTTTTCTTTTACTTTTCCGCACACACCTAGTGTGTAAGGTAAAGTATTGGAATCGGTCGAAAAATTAACACCCATAAAAAATGTGTTTTCTGGGTGTTTTTGGGGCCAGGGAACACGAATCCAGCGTTTTTTCGATGTCCGAATGTATGTGCGTACCCTGTACCCTGTACCCTATACCCTGTACCCTGTACCCTGTACCCTGTACCCTGTACCCTGTACCCTGTACGCTGTACCCTGTACGCAAAAATTTGTTAACACGATAACTTTCAAACAAGAAAAGTAATTCAAAATCTGACTTCACAGGATGATTGGGGGTGCCGAGGAATAGAAACCATTAGATTTTGATCGACTTTGGTTGACAGGGTAAAGTGTCATGTCTGGTGTGATGCCCATGTCCATCCATGGGAAAAATTCAATTTTTCTTCCAAAAGTGATATTTAATGTATTCTTAAACACTCAAAAATGTGTATTGGGGAGTTTTTGGGTACGAGAAAACCGAATATGACGTTAGTTTTGCGATACAATCAACTTTCGAAACACTTTTCATACAAAAAATTCAAAAAATTTGGATTTTTGTATGGAAGCCATGCCTGTATGATATCGTAATGAGCTGAAACTTTGCACAGGTTATTTTTATCACACATAAATACTATTCCGAGAGTTTGAAGACATTTCAACGAATATTAGGGGCACCTCTCGAACAATATTTTGGATTTTTCGCTCTAAAACGAAATTTTGTATGGGAAGTACCCTTAATATGCATTGAAATTTCTTCAAACTTTCAGAATGTTAACTTTTTGTGAAAAAAATAACCTCTGCAAATTTTCACATGATTACGATATCATATAGGCATGGCTCCGATACAAAAATTTCCATTTCTAGTAGTTTTTGTAAGAAAAGTGCTTCGAAAATTATTTTTATCTAAAACTAATGTCAGATTTAGTTTTCTTTCATGTCGTGGATCACAGTGCGGAAAAGTTCATCTTACGGATGTAAGACATTTTATTTTTCCTCCAATCCGAAGGAATATTTTGACGAACCAACCAAGAACCCAACTGAGTGAATCGTCTCTGAATGGCCAAGCTGCACGAACAGGAAACAAAACGCGAAAAATTGGTTTTGCATGGAAAATTGAAAACAGTCTTGTGTCTCTTTTACTTTTCCGCATACGCCTACTGTGTAAAGGGAAAGTATCTTCTAGAAAAATGTATTTACTATGTGTACAGGTAATAATTACCCTGTAAAAAGAAGAAACAAGTATACTTTTGCCACACACCGTTCGGAAAAGTCAAAATCGATATATGTATCGTTCAGAATAAAAATGACCTCCTATATACAGTTTGCTATCAATAGAGGTCACTTTTATTCGAACCGATACATAAAACAAAGTGAATTAATGCGCATACGATTCAGTTGAAATGACTGTCAATTATTGTACGCGTTTGTATTGTTTTTGGTTATTGGAAATTATGCACAAATAAACGATAATCATTGTGTCATGACACCATTCCGTTATTTTGAATAAAATTTCTTGGAATTCGAACCGTATAACTATTCAATTTCGCACATAGCCGCATATCAAATACACAATGTTCGGCCGACCGTTCGTATTTAGAACGAACACTTATCCGTCTTATACAAGCCACGTGAAGTGACGCGTTTTTTTTAATCTCTTCTGACGGCAATTACTTTAAACGACAATTACTGGATTACGAGCAAATTATTTCTTGTAAAAGTGATTAATTGTTTCAACGACATTTTACAATGCTCGTTCTGCAGTATCTTTTTGAACAAATCACCAAATTATTGGCGCTTAGAGGTGATAATATTTTGCTTAAAACAAATTTCAAACGAAAAAAAATGAAAAAAAAAAACATTTTGAAGGAATTATATTGAATATTTGTTTGAAATATCGAAAAAATAACCAAAATTTGGCTAAATAAAGTGAAGGATCAAAGTAAAAGAAGAAAATACCAAAAACTATTGATTTGAAATAAAAAAGCTCTTTTCCGCATTTTGAGATTAAAATTAAATTTTTGTGGATTTGTTTCAGATACGCGATTACAACACCTGCCATTTACGTCGGTTGAAAGTCTCATTACAGTAGTGACGTTGTATTTATTCTTCGTGTTAAAATGGGGACCAAATTTCATGGAAAAACGAAAACCATACAATCTCAAACAAATGTTACTCTTTTATAATGGTTTTCAAGTGTTTTGCAATTTCTCTCTTTTTACCTATGTAAGTGAAGAATTTTCGAAAAAAAAGGCTTGATTTATTTGAACGGAACTCAGGAATGGCCGGAATTTCTTTATCAAGTGAAGAAATGATAAATTAATAGCAAAACCAATTTTCTAATTCTTTTCTTTGGCGAAATAGGTCATTTACAGCATCAATGTTTTGGGTTACAGTATTAATTTTTACTGTGAAGAATTAGACTTTTCGGACAGCTGGATTGGGGTGCAATCAGCGATATTCTCTTATTACTATTATTTGATAAAATTGCTCGATTTATTCGATACGGTGTTCTTTGTATTGCGGAAACGAACTCGACAAATCTCATTTTTGCATGTATATCATCATGTGGCCGTCCTTACCGGTGCTTTTATTGCCATTACGTGGGCACCAGGTAAATATTAGACTTTTTAAATGATTTTCTTTTGGAGTCATTTATCGGACAACTTTTGCGCCCTCCCTCTTTCTCTCTCTCGATCTCTGTTTTTCTCTTTCTTTGTCTTTCTCTAACTCTTTCTCCCTCTTTCTCTTTCCATTGAAGTTAAGTGTTAACATTGAACTTGAAAACCGCGAAAAGAGCGTCGATCGGACACATTTTTCCCGTTCGTTCCACTTTTAAAGTCATAAATGTCCAGCTTAATACAAAAAACGTCCCTACACGTCTGAACAAACAGATGAACGCCGTTATGCGGGTATTGTTTGACACCGTTTGCTAAGCTCTGCAGTTTTCGATTTCAATGTGAAGACATCAGTGTTCGATTTGTCATCTAATCAATAAAAATATTTCCAGGTGGACATCCATGGTTGTTTGGTCTTTTAAATTCTTTCGTCCATATCATAATGTATGCCTACTACCTTGGTACCGTATACAGTGACACATTAAAAACGAATATTTTCATAAAACGTTCCATCACCCAAATGCAAATCGTAAGTATTAATAAATTAATCAATCAATTTCATCTCATTCACAAAAAAATTCGCTTAAAATTTCAGATTCAATTTGTATTTGCAATAACCCACTTGAGTTTGCCGTTTTTCATTCAAAGTTGTAACTATCCGCGACCATTGTTGGTCATCGCCATTTCACAAAATGCAATCATGCTACTGCTATTTTCGGACTTCTACTACAAAACCTACATAAAATCAAAATTACCAAAAGTTAAGTCAAGCTAAAGAATTTCAAACATACAAATAAAAAAAATCCCTTGAAAAAAAATCCGCAAATTAGAGACTAAGAAAGCTAATTTAAGTGTATCGATTTGATATATTATGAAGAATTACTTCTTTTTGTAAAGAATCTGAATGTAGGAATCCATATGCATAATAAATCTGTGTATTTATATAAAACGTTCGAATTGCGGGTCCAGAAAAAAAAACGTTCTTTCTTTTCTTTCGAGATTTTCCATTGATGATAACAATAATGAGCCACTTAATGTCGACCGCCAAGAGGGAAATTATTTAATTCGATTTAATTAAAGGGAAGTTAAGTCTTTATCACGTCGAGAAAATCTACATATATCAGACGCCTCATTCAATGTCGGATTGAGACGAGAAACAGTGGAGTGAAATCAAAAGTGGCCGCGATTTTTTTTAGACTACAACCGAAATTAATGGAGTTTAATTGAATTAAAGATTCATTGAACAACCACATCTTGTGGATTATCTTGATTGTATTGTTTCGAAAAATCTCACCATTTCGACATCAAATGAACCAAAATAATGGCTTTGACAATGAAAATGACTCGTGACAAAGAACATGCAGAATGTGCTGTGCGAACGAAGAATGTGAAATTCGGATTCTTTTGAGAAATCCGTTGAAAGGAAGTTTTTCTTCACAAAGAGGAAGCACTTTGATCTTTTGATTAGGTCACAGTCAACAAGAACGTCTTGAATAGTTAAAAAAATACAAATTGATGGAGCATTTCATGTGGAACGTTTAATTTATTTCAGATTTATTTAAGTATTAGCGATTTAATCGAATTTTGTAAACACAATGAAATTTGACCCCATGAAACTTGTGGAAGTCGAAGTAAGTATAAATTAACTTAAAGTTTAGTGCAAAATAGTTTGAAGAAGGTAGTTTATTTCGAATGTCGCTCAATTTAAAGATGCAAATTTTTATTATTCACAATAAAATCGTGTGAATGATTTAACGTTTTTTGATATCATGCGTTCCTGTTAGTAATTTACTATTGCTATGATAATTTAAACGATTAAGACCATGAATTGTAGATTACACTTTTAATAAATTATTAGTCGTTCAACAATGCGACGCCTTTCTTTCACTTTACTTTCTCTCCCTCACTGTTCTTTTTTACTACCTCTCTGTCAGATTTTTTCTCTCTCTCTTCCTTCACACTCTACCTTTCTCTTTCCTTCTAAAATTTATTTTCACCCGTTTTTTTTTCAAATCCTTTCATAATACTTTTTTGCACACCTAATGTGGGAACGGTGATTTGGTGTTAAATGCTATTCAGCTATGCTTTTGATTTTGGTTTGACTCATTGCAGTGTCAATGTTCGGTTTCCACTTAACGACGCGACGATTATGGAGTAATTTGGCAATACACAACAGTTCTGGAGTCATTCAACTGGTAGAAATTCATTTCGTGAATCTACCTCAAGAGAAACTTTATTTTTCACTCACGGAATTATTACCAACCGTTACTGGGCTGCTCCATTGAAGACGAAACTTTTGATCTATTTCTTAAACTTTTTTTTTTATAAGTAAGCTATTGTTCATGTATGAGGTGACGAAAAGCGGTTTTGTTGGAATTACCAATGTTCAGTCGCTCTTATGTGACACAACAATACCTCACATTATCACATCAGTTTTTCTTCATTCCTACTGTTGTCTCATTTGTGCGTAAAAGAATTGTTAGTACCCGACCGGCCATAAAAATCGAAGCGAAAGAACTATCAACAAAACACGAAACAATAAACAAACCATAAAAATACACAAATGTTTTCCATAGAAAGTTGCACTTTGAGAAAGGGCAAACTTGGTTGTTGGTTCTTTTATGGCGTCTAGACTGAATACGAAAACAGGTGATATGTCTAAAAAATAATTTTGCAAATGAAGCACAAGAAAATTGAGCGCGATAATTTGGATGCATTTTTTCTTTTGTTTTGAAGAAACATCAATGGTTGTCTTCATTACTCACTAAAAAAACGAAAAATGACACAATGAAATTTTTTTGGGGTTTTTGAAATCCAAGGTATGAATGAGGATGATATATTCCGTTCTGATTTGCCGTGTATTTCTAGATAAAGAAGATTGATTTCATTCAAATTCATCCGAATTTCAAGTTTCAACGATAGTCTTATGAAGTTAGATGTGGAAAAGGTGAAAATTATTATGACCTTTGAGCTCATGAATTGTGGATATTTTCCTATGAAAACGGACAAAAATTAAGCAAAAGAAAGAAAAGAAGCAAAGTATTTACGACCGACCATAAAATATATGGATTTGACTTGACTACTACGTTTTTTGATTCGACCACAAACAATTTCAATTATAATCTTTTAACCAAAACTATGAAAATAGAAAAATTTGAATAAAAACCATTTTTCGTTTCAATTTCAATCAATTTTATTTCATCTTTTAAAATTTGATTTTCAAACTAAGCAGGTTTTGACTTACATTTGAAATCAACTATTTTTATCTTTGAATTTGATACGATTCAACAATTACTAGACTGCTCCATTTAGAATAGAACTTTGAACACACTCCATAGACACAGATCTATTGAGTAGATATTGATTGGTTTTTTGTAAGCTAGATACTAATTTCCAGTTGTCTATGGTTTCCATATCTATGAGCTTCCCTTACATATGCTGTAAGAGCTTTTCAGTTTGAATGAAGTGTGATTTCCCATCACACAAGCAAAAACATCCCGTAAAGAAAGTAGTAAGAAAAACTCTTGTCGTACCAAATAAACTGTCTCCGATTTGTTTCGCGGTATCAAAGACCAAAGATTTTCCTATAGATTTTCAATTCTCAAAAAGTATACTCGAAGTTTCACCAAAAAGCAAGATTGTTAGTGTCTTTTTGAACGAAATCCAGACTACTACTTTTGATTTCTCATTCGACTTCATTGAAAATTGCTTTTTATTTTGAAATGAAATAATTTCACTTTGAAAAGCGATGGAAAAATAGAATTGCATTGATGAAACGTAATCTTTTACAAGAAAATAACCAGTTTCCTTCTTTAAATGATACGATTTATTATATTATTTTAATGAATTCAGTAATTTTTGCCATAAAATGTGGCCGCTGCTCGACAACGGGCTTGTTGTTTTTCTTCTTGCAACAAAGTTGAGTATCTGCAGATGTATGCGCCCTTTTGTGGTGTCCATTTGCTTGGTTTGTTGAGTATGTGTTCGAGTTCCATTTTGTTCAATTGATTAGCACGTAGAAATTCATAAAAACTAATATCGCGTCCATAATCGCATCTAACACAATGGCACTCAAAATTCCATTTTCTCAAATCATTTTGTCGTTCTTCGTTCGATTCATCACTAAAATTTCGATAACTTATAAAAAGTTGTTCACCACATGGAATGCGTTGAGTGGCGATCAATGTCATTTCAGTTTTTTCAAGAAAACCCATCAGATTCGGCGAACAAGAGTGATTAATATACGATGCGATGTCAAAGGTGAGCAAACGTTTGAATTCACCTTCTTTTGTCACTAAAGTGCTTCCAAATGAATTTGCAAAAATCGCCGACACATTATGCGATAGAAAATTTTGCAAAAAGCTATAACCATCGGTATTTTCGTTTTCGAGCTCAAAATATTGTTGTACTTTCGGGAACGTTATGATCAATTCATATGCATTACGCGTCAAATGACGATGACGCCAAATTCTATAAACGGAATCGTCTTCTGTCAATTTCAAAATGCAATCAAGTCTCGATTCTCTGGAATTGCTGGCCTTTGGGATATCATCATTTATGGATTGTTCAACAAAATTTTGCAAATCTTCGACATTTTCAAAGGTTGCCATCGATTCCAATACAATTTGAATCGCACTTTTCACATTGAAACATTCGATTTGATGAAATTGAGTGCCACACTCAAATTGATGGCTTAAATTTTCCTTTTTACATCGTTTACTGCAGAAGAACACCGTTTTGCATTTTTGGCATCGAATGAAATTGGCTCGGGTCTCGTGGCATGTTAAGCAATACGATATTGGATTAAACGTTTCAACAACAGCTGAGTACGCTCGGCTGACCAGTGCCACTTCACCAACTTCCAGGGATTTTTCTGTATGAACTGCACGACCAAGTTTCGACGATTTTGAGAGAAAACACTTTTGTTTGAAATCTGGATGATTGAACTTGGATTTATTCGATGATTTTGTGTGATTAGGATGCTTTCGATTTCGCTTCTGGTGACGATAATTTGGTTGATGTTTTGATAGATCTCCGCCCGCCGAATGATCCACGAAAGAACTTCGCCGTTTATGTATCTTACGCTGCCAACGATTGTGATCCGTTTTCATTATTGAAATTATTAGAAATTTTTGAACAACAATTTAATAGCTATACTATATTTGCCTTTATCAAAGACTGTACTGTCGTTTTGAAGTCTTTGTATACTGAGATTCGAATTCCTCAAAAAGTACCGAATTACGTTTTGAAATCATATCGAATTCGTTTTCATCGAAGCAACACACTTATGAAAGAAATTTATTTGAATTTAAGAAAAAGATATATTTCATTCGAATAGCGCCACACTGTTCATCTGCATTTATTCCTTTCAAGTTTCAGCAAGAGCCTTATTGGTCGTCGCCGTGCAATTTGATTTGAAAACATTTTATTTCTTTTGGTTTATTTCCGAATTAAGACAGTAAATTCTACTTGGTTTGTTTTCGAGTCCTGTTTTTTGTGAAAACACATCAAAGTTTCGCATTTATTACATCTTATTACAGGTTTTTTTAATGAGTTCGGCTCTTCGGCTGAACAAATTTGGAATGAAATTAAAGGTGACTCAATTTAATTCAAACTTTTAGTTTGTTGACTTTTTGTGTTACCCTGTGCAAAGTTTCAAGTCATTACGATTTATATAGGCATGGCTCCCACACTGTCAGATTCAGTTTTCTCGTGAATTTAAATTTAAGTAAAAGATATGTAATAAATGCATGTTGTGGATCACAGTGCGGAAAAGTTCATCTAACGGATGTAAGACATTTTATTCTGATTGTGAGTTAGGCTATTCTAGTTGATAAATTGTTTTCGCAAATAATAATTTTAAATTTATTGATAACGGATCAAGTATTGACTGCTATTCAATTCATATACAAAAATATGCTTTACTATGTTTAAGTGACAGGGATATCTATATCAAAACTTGACCGGACTATTATTAACAAAAAATTAATTTGAAGCTACAGATACTTTTACAACATTTTCTTTTATTTAATCATATTTTTACGGTTTCATTTGAATGAGCATGTTCTTTTCCATTGAGATTTCATCAAATATCCAAGCTTTTCCTACTTAAACGCCTGCCACTTCTGATATCAAACTTGATTTGGCCATACGATCGGTTCGATCCAATCCAAATAATAAGCCACTCTTGTATAAATTCCTGGGAAAGTTGTACCACCACAGACAACCCCAAATGACACGACGCCTACAATCTTTGCAACCGAGCTGACTCCGTTGAAATACTGGAGTGGCCCTCCACTATCTCCGTGGCAAGCATCTCTTATTCCCTTTGGATCGTATGCACAATATTGACCCTCAGAGAGACCGTTTCGAAATTGTGCAACATTTGGCATTTTATTCCATTCGATAACCGTTGCATTACACTGGCGTAATGGCATTGTGGACAGTTGTGCCATTTTCAAGTCATTTGATCTCGAAGATACTTGAATGTTAATAAGTTAATTATTAATTTTTTCTCCATATCTTCTAAACTGATTGAAATATTTACCATTTACTGACGGATCCACAGTTAAACCCCAACCTGTCACCATAAGATTTACATTCCATGGTTGGTCTCGTATATCTGTTTCCAAACAAGCCGGTCCAATTTCATCCGTAAAGTAAATATTTTTCGTTACCTCAATCAATGCAATATCATTCCTTTTTGTCAAAACTGAATAGCTGGGATGTTTGAAAATGTGCTGTTGGAAAAGGATATAAAAATTAAAATAATTAGTTAAATTACAGAAATACCATTTTAAGTGATTGAGCCGGAAAATAAATTTCTGATTTGACTAATAAATCCAACAATTACAAACTAGTGTTGGTTTTTTGCTTGTATTAAATTGAGCAACCAGACTTAATTATTACCTTCACTTGATAATCATCATACCAACCGCGGTTATCATCAATCAACCTAGTCTGTTGAGTTGTAAAATTGACATTGAAAAATAAAGTTTGAATATTTGAATTGGAGTGGTTCTTTTCTTACTGTTCCTAATCGAATAAGGACTGGTCGTTTGGGCGACACACAATGCGCTGCTGTTAATATAAATTTATCTGATATAACTATGCCACCACAATCAAAAGTCGTTAACAAACGGCTATTAAGCTATCCCAGAGCAGCCTTAAAACATGTAGAATATTTATTGCAATTTTGAACCATTTTATAATGAAAAGAAAAGAAATACCATCCATATATATGTGTTGGGTGAGGCAGTTTCTCCACCAATGATTCTATTTGATAGGCTGATTAAGGGAGTACGGAAAATAAATAATGAAAATTAGTTGAGTCATAATTTTAGCTCAGCCATTCATTTGACTTATGAATAAATAAAATCATCTGATCTCATCAAGGTGCAAATCGAAGTGTTTTTTGCAGTTTGCACCTTGATCCTCATATTTTTGAGAAGATCGAAAAATGTCTTTTGGAGAATTACTAAACCTCTTTGTGATGGTCGAAATGTTTGACGAACTGTTCTCAGGATATCAATGATTTTATCATATCCTGAATAAATAGAAGAAAGTTTTTCTATGATGTATCTACGATAAAAATATGCCAAATATAATTCTAATAAATACCTTTTCTATTAGCGATGTCTAGTGGTGTTTCATTATCGTTATTTTTTAAACCAGCATTGGCTCCGTTCAGCATTAAAATCTCCACAATCTTTTCAAAACCTTAAAGACAATCAAACAAGTTCCATAGCAATTAATAGCAATTAACAAAATAATATTCTTATTAATCTTGAGACCTTTATTCATAGCGGCATGCAATGGTGATTTGCCGTTGTTAGATTGAATGTTAACATCAGCACCATTTCGGACTAAAACTGCAAGGACGTTTTCGTGGCCTGGGTTTAAAATCGGAAAAGCGAATTTTCATTTTTGATGTAAAAGATAGTCAATAACTATGGTTCCTTATAAAGAAATGATTATTGAATAATAATTCAACAACTTGATCATACAATAATGCGTATTAGTTGATTAACAAACATTTAAAACAAAAATCAGAATGCCATGCAACTCTTGATTGCATACGACTTCAAGCGTGTTATTCAATTGGCGCACCGAATTTCGTCGCTCGAAATAGTGCGCAGTCAAGAGCTCGAAAGTATAAGTTTTTTCGGTTCTTTTTATTCAATGCGTATAAAGTTATTGTACATTTGACGCGTGTGCACTTTGCACATAGTGATCTTTTTCTATTTGTTTTAGTTGACATTGAAATGATAAAAGGTGTTATCTGTTTTTTAATTCTACTCTTTTCATTAACTGGATCATGACCGTTGCAAATGATTTGTATCCAAATGTAATGAAATATTTTTAAATTTTGATTTTATTACTTTTCCGCACACACCTAGTGTGTAAGGTAAAGTATTGGAAT